TTGGATCTCCTGGACCTGGAGTTACAATCATTAGCCACCTTACGGGTACTGGGAACTGAACCCAGGTCCTCTAGAAGAGCAGCCAGTGGTCTTAACCACTGAACCATCTCTCCAGCCCCTTAGCCAAGGATTTTTACTAGTAAAGTAGGAATCATGTGCTAAGCTATTGGGTCATTCACTTCAAGTGAGTAGTGCCTGTCTATGAGAGAGGTTCTTAACTACAGCCTGGCTGCATGTAGGTCAGGGAGAAGTTATATCACTAAATGGAAAACAAAACCAGGAAGATGATCTGCCAAGGAGACAGGAATGTCAGAATCACCTGAGGGACATCCAGAAGGCCAGCTTCTCATGGCTGATCATGTGATTGTGCCTCCAGGTGGGGCAGCCTAGCACTAGAGGGAGAACTAGCCAAGGACCACAGCAGCCTTTTAGAACTGATTCTTGGTGTGGGCCTGGCAGCCTGGGGATGAGGGGAGCCAGGAAAGTTCAGTAATATATACTTGGACCAAGCTTGTCACGAAAGTTTGAGGACCTGAGTTTGAATCCCTAGAATGCTATTGGATGCTGTAATGCACATCTGTGATCCCAGTGCTCCTACAGGGAGTTGGGAGATGGAGACAGGAACCCCTAGATGCTTTCTGACCTGCTAGCTGGTGTAAGCAGTGGAAAAACAAGAGACCCTGTCTCAAGGTGAGAACTCACACATGAAGTTGTCTCTAACCTTTGCACGTATGTATTCACATACCTGGATGCACTCATGTACACACAGAAAGAATCACATTGTACACACACACACACACACACACACACACACACACACACACACGTTTTTGTTTATTTGGGTTTTGAGGCAGAGTCATCTCTCTATAGCCCTAGCTGGCCTGGAACTCACTGTGTAGACCAGGATGGTTTCCCTCCATCTCACAGAGATCTGCCTGTCTTTACCTCCCAAGTGCTGAGACTAAAGGTATGGGCCACCACACCCATCCTACCAGTTTTTAAAGCTTTAGCTTCATAATTATGATTTTATCAAAGTAGTCTCAGTGAGATTTGCAATGCAAAATGACAGTATCTTGTCCCACCAGGTGCTCCATGGTCCTACATCAGAATGAGGACTATCTGGTGCCTCTTTTTTAATAATTTGAAATTATTTATTTTTATTTTATGTGTGTGAGTGTATTGCCTGCATGTATGTAGGTGCACTGTGTCATGCAATGCCTGCAGAGGACAGAAGAAGGTCTCAGATTCCCTGGAACTGGAATTACAGATGGTTGTTAACCACCATGTGGGTGCTGGGATTTGAACCCAAGTCCTCTGCAAGAGCAGCCAGTGCTCTTAACTGCTGAGCCATCTCTCTGGCTCCCTGATGTCACTTTTTTAAAAATTACATTTATTAATTTTGTGTGTGTGCATGCGTGTGGGCATTTATGTGCCAGTTACAGGACACCCTGTGGGAGTGGGTTCTCTCCTTCTACCATGTAGGTCCCAGGGATTGAACTCAGGTCATCATGATTGGGGATTGAACTCAGGTCATCAAGATTAGGACTGAACTCAGGTCATCATCAAGATTGGGACTGAACTCGGGTCATCAAGATTGGGATTGAACTCAGGGCATCAAGATTGGGATTGAACTCAGGGCATCAAGATTGGGACTGAACTCAGGTCATCATGATTGGTGGCCATCACCTTTACCTGCTGAGCCACCTCCCTGGTACCAGGCAGACAGAATCACACTTGAACGCCCTGCTGTGTGCGTTTGTTGCTCTTCCTGCTTTGGTTTTAGATGTTGGCTAGTGATTTGTACTGTGGAGGGTGAGGATTTGCTCCTTACCCACTTTTCTTCCCTCCATCCTCTTGAACAGGTATAGCATGATTTTATGGTAGCATCAGTGTAAGCTATCGGCCTAATTGTGATTATGTATTATTTATGGCTGAGTTATATTGTGATACTTCCTTCGTTGAAGAACTTTTTCACTCTGGAAATGGATTTTTTCTTACTTCTTTTCATTTTTCTATTTTTTGGTGCTTGCCCTTTTTCTTCCCAAACTCTCCAGCAGAGTTATGAAACTTGTCTGATGTCTTTCCCTGTGGACAAATATCATGAGCTCTACTGACTTCATTCTTTTTCTGGAGGCTTCCCTCTTGGGCCTGCCTCTCCTCTGCTTTGTCTCAACCGGTTACCAAACTAGTCACACAGCTGTGGCCTTAGACGCTCTTTCTTCCTGGACCTGCCATCTTCATTTAGGTGGAGATGTCTGTTAACTTACTAATAAAGGGTAGATGGAAGGACTTTATTTTAGACACTACAGATTTGAAGAGACCTTTATGGTATCCACACAACTCACTGATAGTTCGCTGGGCACAGAATTCCACATGGAAATCATTTCCTCAGCATTTTGAAAGTGTTGCTCTGTTGGGTTTTTACTGGTGCTGCTGAGAAGCAGAATACCCCTTTTCTTTGTAAATCTTTGAACACAGCCCAGTCATTCTCCTCCTCAGAAGGCTGTTAAAATGGATTGTGGTATCCTGAAATATTTTATGATTAACGTCCGTTCTGTTGCCTCCCTTCCCCACTTTCCTGTTGGGGAGAAGTTCTCATCTAACCTCCCAGTGACTTCTTCCCCTTGGTGCCTTCTTTTCTTTCTTCAGCACTCTGTTATTTTGATGTTGGGTGTCCTGGATTGAGCCTATTTTGCTTCTTTTTCTCTGTTTTTTAAAAAAAATAATTTTTTATGTTCATGAATGTTATGCCTGTATGTGTGTAAGTGCACCCATGTCATGCAGTGCCTTCAGAGGACAGAAGAGGGCGTTGGATCCCCTGGAACTCGAGTTATGGATGATTGTTAGCCACCGTGTGGGTGCTGGGATTCAAACCTGGGTCTTCTGCAAGAGCAGCCAGTGCTCTTAACTGCTGAGCCATCTCTCCAGCCCCTCTTCTCCATTTTTGTGTCTGCTTTCTTTGTGCTGGTTTCTTACAGTCCCAAGTCTGATTTTCTAACAATCGGATCTGCAGAACTTACTCTTTTTGCTGTTATTTCTGAGCACTCATTACTTGCCCATGCCCGGCCATCATGACTTTTCTTACTCTCAGTGCTAGTTCTTTATAAAAACTCTTTCTTAGATGTATTTGTTATGTGTGTGTGTGTGTGTGTGTGTGTGTGTGTGTGTGTGTGTGCTGCATGTGTTTGATATACTTAGGGGCCAGAAGAGGGAATCAGATTCTGTGGAGCTAGTTACAGATGGTTGTGAGCTGCCCCAAGTAGGTGCTGGGAACTGAACTCAGGTCCTCTAGAAAAACAGGAAGTGCTCTTAACTGCAGAACTGCCCTTCTAGCCCCTCAATATTGATTCTTAATTCCCATTTTGAAGTTTTATTTTGCTCCCTGCAGGATCTCTAGTTCCTCTGATACCTTTTCCAGCTTGTTCTGATGTCTCTTTCATATTGGAGGCTTTTCTTAAACACTTTCCCCTAGTTTCCTTCCTATTTAAGAGTAAAACCTTAAAAGCTCTGTATGTGGCTGGGATCATCAAAGGACAGGTGATCCCGTGGGACCATCTGTAACATGGATGTCTCATAGAGGAGCCTACAAAACACATTGGTGCTTTGGATGGCAGGGAAGGCAGCTCCATTTCTATAGGAAAGCTCTTCTATGGCCAGCGTGGAAGGTGTAACCCCAGCCAGGGTGCTTGATGCCTGCATTGTGGCCCTCAGCCTACACAGCATGTGCCTCTGCTCCCAGCACCTCTCGTCCTTCAGCTTTCAGTGTCCTGGGGTCTGTAGCTGCTCTTGGAAGATTTTCCTGCAGGCCCAATCTCAGTTCTCCTTCCCACGAGATGGTGTTTCCTGGCTTCCTTGGAATAGCTGCAAAATTCTTCGGGGTCTCCGCTCAGACTTTGATCGTCTCCCTGCTCTGCCCACTCCGTACCCAGGACTCCACCTCCCACCCTCCCACCAGCCACCCAGGCCTCTGGTTTCTCAATTGGTCTGGGCTTCTGTGCCACAGACCGACCACCCCTTCTTGCCACCTCCCCACAGGTGCTCGGTGGAGCTCTGTGGACTCTTCTGTCTCCTTTCCTTCTTCCAAAAATGTACTAGTGTTTCTAGCACAGACGTTCCCTTGGGCTTGTTCTTTTTTGTTATTCTGTCACTCTTATTTTAAAGATGTTTCAAGAAGGACATCTGTTCAGTCTGCCACACTTTAATAATTTACTTAGTTTTTATTAGTAGTAGATATGTAGATACACACAACTATCTGTGTAGTACATATAAACGTATTCAGATGATCTAAGAGATAAACAGTGAAAATGAATCCCCCTTCTCCCATCCTTTGGCTCTTCCCAGAGGCACTCAGACACTAGTTATACCCTCATAGACATACACCCTCTTCTAACAAATTAAAAAAAAAATTAATGTATGTTTGTGTGTGTGCATTCGCAAATGTGTATGCCAAGGCCTGTGTGTGGAGGTCAGAGGACAATTTTCAGGAGTCTTTTCTCTCTTTCTACCATGTAGGTCCTAGGGATTGGATGCCGATCATCAGGCTTAGTGGCAAGCGCCTTTACCTGATGCGCCATCTCGCCAGGCCTTTTTGCCCTCTTAAGAAAGTCTGTGCAGACCTTCATATACACACAACAGCGTAACAGGAGATAATATATTTTACTTTAAATAAGGAAGCAATTTTTTGCATGTCCCTAGGCTGTATTCATACTTTAAGTAAAGGCAGTTATAATCCAAGGCACAGTCTCTTGATCAGTTTCCAAGATCCTTTGTGAATGGTAGATCTCTTCAAGGGCCCTTCGTTCAGATATTATGATTATGTGCACTTAGCTACCTGCATGAAAGCCAGCTGAGGTTCTATTGGTTTGGGTTGTGAGGTGTGGGGCTCACACACGGCGGCTGTGCGTGGGGACTTCAGCTTCTTGTGTGGCTTTCCTTTCTATCCCTGCGCCTTTCTCTTCCTGTTTTATCCTGCTCGTCCCTCCATCTCACTGGCTCCTGACTCCTGTGAATGGCTATTGGAGTGGTTCTTCCTGGCTAAGGGCTCCGCTCTCCCAGAGCCTCCTCTTTGGTACTGTGGATGAGTATGTTCTCAGCCTGCCCTGCTAACTGTCCTCAAGCATGCCTGCATATTGCAGGGCCAGGCCTAGCTTGTAGTGGGCAACTTGCCCTGCCAGTCTGGTGATAGTGTGACTCTTTCTTTCTGCAACAGGGCCTGCTGCCACCAAACCAGACTTGATCTTAAAACTGGAACAGACAGCCACACCCTGGATCAAGGACCCTAAGCTAAAGTGGGGGAAAAGTCACCCCCTAGGTGAGTCTAGACCCACCAAGTTGTAAAAGGCACCATCAGGGACACACGTAGCTCTGTTAGATCAGCCACACTTACCCTGGACAATTGTATTGCTAGGCAATAGGCAAACAAAGATGAATAAGAAACCAAGCCTGCCCAAGAGTCTAGAGTAGTCTAGGAACCTGGGACAGTGCAGAAGAAATAAAGTCCTCTGACAGCCAGGAGTGCTGGAAGGAGTTGTGGTGGAGCTGATCAGGGAGGAGAGAAATGGGTGACGCTGTGGCCACCAGGAGTCAGGTGGCCCAGCTCAGTGGGCTCTCCTCCCCTCTTCCCTTCTCCGGGAACAGTGGCAGCTCTATGGGCTTGTGAGCACTAGATGCTTTGCATATCCCAATCTCTGGCTGATGGCTGATTGCCACTGTATCTTTCCTCCTTTCTGAGACTCATGAGAAGACTCTTGGGCGTTTAACCTCATTTATTTGTGCAGTTTCACAAGATTCAAGCCACCTGTTCATCTGGTAATATCTATGGCCAAAGCTGGCTGATCAAGCTCATCAGCTTCTGGGCTCTTATAATCCCAGAGTAGCATGGTGAGTAGAGGGCGGATGGCGAAAGAACAAACAAGGATCCGCTCTACTCTTGGGGAGCCGAACTGGCCCTCAGAAGTAGTGATGGGGAAGCGTTCCTAGAAGCCAACAGTGGCTTCTAGACAGAGGAGTCGTGCTCAGCTTCTCTCTTTGTACAAGGGGCACTGACTCAATGTGGGTGTTGTAGCTGCTAGAAGACCTCAGGGCTCAGGACAGCAAAACCAAGCATGGTTTAATTGTTTAAAGGGAAAACAAAGATGGCAGCAGTAAAAGAGGCCAAAACCCCAACCCAGGGTGCAGCTACAGAACCCCCATCGCTTCCAGCTCCTGTAGAGACAGGTACCTCCGACTGCCCTCCAAGCACATGTGAAATAGAAGTGGACAGACCTAGGAAAGTCCAGAGGACTTATAGACCTCGTTCCATTCAGAGGTCCTGGTTTGGACAGTTCCCCTGGCTAGTCATGGATCCCAAAGAGACCAAGCTGTTCTGCTCAGTTTGCAAAGAAAGACCAACTCTCCATGACAAATCATCCCGGTTAGTCCAAGGTTACACTGGGCCTTTTAAAGTAGAGACTTTAAAATACCGTGAAGTCAGCAAGGCACATAAGCTCTGTGTCAACACTGTGGCAGTCAAAGACAACAGCCCTCAGCCTGCCCTCGCCCCAGAGATCTCCAGCGACCTCGTGGCCAACATGGAGCACTTCTTCAATGCTGCCTACTCCATCGCCTACCACTCCAGGCCTCTGAATGACTTTGAGAAGGTCTTGAAACTCCTGCAGAACACTGGGACCATGATATTAGGCAAGTCCGAAATCGCACTGCATGCACTCAGTTCAAGTACATCTCAGAGACTCTGAAGAAGGACTCCTTATTGACATCCGAAGCTCCCCATGTGTGAGCATGCTGCTGGACAGCTGTAGGGACTCCTCTGACCAGGCCTGTGTGGGAATATACATGCGCTATTTCAAGCAGATGGAAGTGAAGGAATCGTACATCACCCTGGCCCCTCTCTCCAGTGAGACAGTGGATGGGTACTTTGAAACCATTATCGCTGCCCTGGATGAGCTGGACATCCCTTTCTGGAAGCCTGGCTGGGTGGTGGGTCTAGGGACTGATGGGTCTGCCATGCTCAGATGCAAGGGAGGACTTGTGGAAAAGTTTCAGGAGATCATTCCTCAGCTGCTGCCTGTGTACTGTGTAGCCCACCAGCTGCATGTGGCTGTGGTGGATGCTTGTGGGAGCATAGCCCACCAGCTGCATGTGGCTGTGGTGGATGCTTGTGGGAGCATCGATCTGGTGAGGATGTGTGACCGGCACATCCGAACCATCTTCAAGTTTTACCAGTGCTCTAACAAGAGGCTAAATGAACTGTGGGACTGTGCATCTCTGCTAGGGCAGGAAATCATCTGTCTGAAGGACTTGAACGCTGTCAGGTGGGTGGCCAGCAGAAAGTGCACACTGAATGCACTCATCGTGAGCTGGCCTGCCCTAGCTAGGCACCTCCAGAGTGTGGTGGAAACTGGGGGCCAGATTGGTCAAAGGGCCAACGGCATGCTGAAGCTGATGAAGGGCTTCCATTTCATCAAGTTCTCCTACTTCCTTTTGGACTTCCTGAACATCTACAGACCTTTGTCTGAGGTGTGCCAGAAGGAGCCTGTGCTGGTCACAGAGGTGAACTCCACACTGGTTCATGCCTATGTGGCATTGGAGAGACTCTGCCACCGGGCAGGGCCCAAAGAAGAAGAGTTCAATGCCAGCTTCCAGGATGGGCGGCTCCATGGCATCTCCCTGGACAAAGTGGAGACAGCAGAGCTGCGGTTCCAGACAGACAGGGAGAAGATGATCCTGACTGGGGTTGAGTACCTCCAGCAGAGGTTTGGTTCAGACCGTCCCCCCCAGCTCAAGAATATGGAGGTGTTAGACACCATGGCCTGGCCAGGAGGGGTTGAACTGGCCTGCTTTGGGAACAATGACATTCTCAGCCTTGCCAGGCATTTTGAGCTCTCCCTCCCCACAGTGAGGAAGCACTGCTGGAGGAGTGGCAGAGCTTGAAGGCTGCTTCCCAGAACCTTCCATTCTCCATGCTGTATAAGAATGCTCGGACCCAGCACTACCGCTTCCCCTTGCTGAGCAAGCTCATGGCTGTGGTGGTCTGCGTGCCCATCTCTACTTCCTGCTGTGAGCGGGGATTCAAGGCCATGAATAGGATCAGGACTGATGAGAGGACCAAGCTCTCCAACGAGGTTCTCAACACACTCATGATGACGGCAGTGAATGGTGTGCCAGTCACAGAATTCGACCCCCAGCCTGCGATCCAGCACTGGTACCGGACCTCTTCAGCCCGGCACTTCAGTCATGTCTATACCTGCACCCAGGTGCCAACCTGTTCCCACACAAGTAAGTACACAAAGTCCCTGGTGTGGGAGACGAAGCACAGACTCCTATGTGCCCTGTCCCACACTGAATCAGTCTGAGCAATCAACCCACAAAGGTGGGACCTATGGAGTGCTGCGGTATGCCTGGCCACTTGCAGTGGGGGTGGGGGGGTTGGAGACAGGAGAGCCAGCCTACAGGCGTATGTGACCTGGTTGGAGAGACCAGCTGCACAGACTTGGGGGCAGCAGGCATTGTGCAATGAATGCACAGTTTTGGAGCCTGTCTGCCCCTCCAGGTTTAGTTCTGCTGCCCAACTAGCTGTGTGCCTGGCACAAGCCAGTGTCATGGTTTGGTACTGTGGTTTCATATGGGAATGAGTTAACATACTTAGAACAGTATGGCCAGTAGAATACATGCTGCTATGATGAAGCCCACTGCTGGAAAATAAGGGCTGGAGAGGTCAGGCAGGGCATCATAGGGCAAGCTGGGCTCAGTGGACTCTGACTGGGCCAGGCAGGAGTTTTTCAGGACAGAAGTGAGCAGTGTGGGTCAGAATGGCTGTGAAGGAGGGCGTAAAGGGAAATCGGGGCATTTTGTTTAGACTATGGGAATCACATGGAGCAGCAGAGCCGGAAAACACACCGGAAGCTCTCTGTTGGCCACAGCCCCGAGGATAAGGTTACAATCTTATTGGCAGACAAAGAACTGACAGCTGAAGCAGGAAAGTTCCGCCTGTCCAGTGCTTGCTGAGACCAAAGGCAGCCACTCCTGTGAGGGTCCTTCAGACTCTCCTGCTCGCTCAGCCGGACAGAGTTTCCCTTCTTCTGCCTCTCCTGGCTGCTTGCCTTCCCAGTGGACTTGGGTCTCAGGGCGACAGAAGCTCTTCAGGAAGCCTGGCGGCCCTGGAGCCAGCCACAGATGGCCAGGGAGTAGGAGGGGACTCCTTCCCTTTGATAGCCAAAAGGGACTTCATTGAGTTTACTCCTGCACATGGACTGCGGGAGTTGTTCTCAGTGTCCAGCCCTGTGGGGTGATGGAGGAAAAGCTGCCAGCAGGTATGCCCTTGGGCAAGCTATTCTTTCCTCGGGGCCAACGGAACTGGTACCTGCAGGGAACTAAATAGAGATGCCCGCAGGGTATATGTGATGATGTCTCGCTGGCAGGACTCGTGGGCATTTGGGGCCAAATAACTCCTTCTAGAAGCCCCTGTGCACTGTGAGAATGCTGCAGCTCGTCCCCTGAAGACCCGCCCTGCCCTTGAAGCTCCTCTGGCCTAGGGGAAAAGACCAAGCAGAGCAGGCACAGATGAATGCTGTGAGAGGCAGTGCTGGCCCTGCACCTGTCCTGCGTGTTGTCCTCACTCGTCAGAGTTGGGTGGGAGGGCCACTCACCCCTGCTCTGTCTAATAGCATTCTCTCCTGCATGGATGCAGGACTCGGGAAGGAGGGGCTGGGAGAACTCTACAAGGAGAAATCGGTGGCCCAGAAATTGCCCATCACACCGTGAGGGGAGCCATGGAGGTTCTGAAAGACCACAAGGTGAAGATTCCTGGACCCTGTACTAGTCCAAGGGCCTTGTGGTTCTGAAGAGTGGTGGCCTGGAGAAGGCGCACGTGCAGGGACTCCCTTGATCATGGGGAGAGGCTCATTCTAGACTATCCTGATGGGGAGCTCCCTAAAGTGGACAGTGACAAACTAGTTGAAGCAGGCATCTGAGGGACAAGGCCCTCTAGGTGTAGCAGTGCCTAAACTATGCCAGAGAGATACTAACCTCAAGTCCATTTTTGAGGTTCTCCAAGAAAGAATGTTATCATGAGAGAGTTCATCCCACACACATTCTGCTGGCAGGAGGCTTTCCCGGAGTGGGAATGTGGCTAAGAGCAGCTCTCTGCAACCCTGGCCCAGCTGGGACCCTGTGTAGAAGCCCCCAGGATTGGCCGTTTTGGACCATTGCTGTGCCTCATGCAGTAGAGTCTCAGAGACCCTCTCCCCTCAAGACCTGCCTTCAGCATGAAACAGACCACAGTCCTCTGCAGAGTGTGCCTGAGAAAGGTGGTCTCACCAGCTCCTGCACAGTGAGCCATGCTTCCCCAGTAGGAGCCTGGTGCCCCCTCCCCACCTCAGACCTTTGGATTGGCTACTGTTCTGCTAAGCAGATTCCTAAGGAATGGAGGGGACTGAGCTGAGTTGGGAGGCTTGGAATACAGCCCAGCTCTGCGCAGACAGTGGTCTGCCCGTAATGAATGCTTTCCTCTTTCCTGTGCCTCAGTTTCATTCTCCACGTACTGGCCCCTGTCTGCCATAGTCAGGGAGCACCTCACACTAAGGGCTTGTCTAGGGCATTTAGCTGTTCCTACTGCTGTCCTTGGCCTTAGTGGTACGGTGTCAGTTTTGCCACCAGAGACCTATTGCAGGAAGAGGTGCTGTGCACATGTTCTGTCCCCAGGACAGGCGCATCTGCTCTTCTGAAGACTGCTCTGGGGACGACTCAGAGCTACATGCCCCATCCTGGACACATGCAATCACATTTCCCAGGCTCAGCGGCTGTGGTTTCTCATGATACTCCCCAGGAGCTTTGTGGGTGTCCTCTGGCTTCAGAGCCACTCCCACGCTCAGGGAAAGGCCTCTGGTACTACCAGGCCCTGAGTCCCTCACCTTTTTGCCCTTCCAGCCTGAAGTGAGGAGCTATTTCTTCCAGGGACAGCCTGGCCTTGCAGGCCCAGTGGCTGCCTGTCTGGTTAGGATGATCTGTCTGGGGTGGTACATGCCTTTAATCCCAGCACTCGGGAGGCAGAGGCAGGCAGATCTCTGTGAGTTCAAGGCTAGCCTGGTCTACATACTGAGTTCCAGGCCAGCTGGAGCTACAGGGAGACCCTGCCTCCAAAAGGCGGGGGGGCAGGAACCTTGTTTGCTGCCCATCTGCACACAGACCCCTGCTCTGTGCTGCAAGCACACACAGCCCCTGACCAAGGCACATTTCCCTCCCAGTAGGTGCTGAAAGGACCCAAGTGCCTCACCATTATACAGACAGCCTGGCTCCCAGCTGTAGCACCCAGCCTTAGTGTGTAGTGTACCTGTCTTCCCGCCCTAGCCAGAAATCCCTTTTCCTTCTCCCTGCCATTAAGAAGCAGGCAGGCTTTGGCTCTAGCTCTAGCAAATAGCCCAGGCAGAGCCTGGGCCTCTGTCTCCTACCCACCAATGTCTCCTCCGAGTCCAGGATTTGACAGGTCAGGTGGATGAGGGGGTATAGGCCTCCACCCAGAGAGGAACCACAGCATCTCCCATTCTTTAGGAACCCCCTTCATTAAGACACCAGTCTTATGAGCAATGTGGGCACAGGTTCTGGAATGGGGCTTGGAGAGCTGAGGTGGCTGCCAGGTGCCCTGTCTTCTCCACATCAGCACCCCGAGGCTTCCTCCTGATGCTTCAGATAGAAATCTGGGCCCCTTGCAGCAGGGCAACTGAAAATGCTACTTAGCCTAGGTGTTGGCCCCGTTCAGGTTTCTAGGCCAGAGTCAGCACTCTCTCGTGCCCCTTGGCCAGCTCAAGGAAGGAAGCAGTGTTCTTGATTAGGTCCCCAAGGTGGACACATGGCAAGCACCCTACCTAAGAGCTTCTGTGTGCAGGCTGGCCCTGCTTTGCTCTTAGAAGTTGCTACTACATTTCAACCCCTGGGGGCATCCTTGTTTTACCCCAGGAGAAAACAAGCCAGAGCATTGGGAGGAGGAGGGGGAGAGGGAGGGGGAGGAGGAGGGGAGGGGGAGGAAGTGCCGCCCCATTAGCCTGAGCCCTGGCTGTGGTCTCCCCCTTCTTCCCTGCCTGGCTCTTGGCAGCATCTTCTTGTGCACATCCCGGCCCTTGTCCCTCCCCTTCCCTGATCACTGATGCCCACTAGGGCTGGTTCCGAGTAACCAGCACTGTACTCAGCACTTTGATTTAAAAAGCCATGGAGACTGGGGTGGGGGGTGGGTAGGGGAGCTCAGCCTCTCCAGCCAGGCACTGTAGAGTAGAGCCATCGCCACACTGTAGCTTCTCTGTAACCACAAAGGGTGAGTCCCAGGCATGCTAAGTGTGGTCAGGATAGGGTGGACAATGATTCCCTCACACAGACGTCCATGTAGCCAGGGGCAAGGATGCCTGGCTAGGGATATTCTGGCCTCCTGGATTCAATGATGTGCAAATTAGGTTTTTAAAAAGCCATGTTCAAGTCTTAATTTTTTGCTATATGAATAAAGCAGAGTTTATTTCAATACACGTGTCTGTCCTGCGAGTCCCTAATTGAGAGCCAGGCTAACAAGATGATTTCTTTTCAGCAGGGTTGAGAGGTAGGTATAGGACACAAGTGTGACTCTACTGTTGTCTTTATATCTCTTTTCTCTTTGAATCGTGAGTGAACTGAGTGATTTTAGCCAGTGCTTGTGAGGAGATGCAACACTTTGTGAGAGTTAGAACCAAGTGCTCTGCACTCACTGTTACTTAGTACTTCCTGTCAGAGGGCATTTCCGAATTTCCCCTGTGGTTTACTTACTGGGAAGATCAGCCAGACTTACTGGGTGTCCTAGTTTGTTTCTTCATTGCTGTGACAAAACACTCTGACCACTACCAACTTGGGGAGGAAAGGGTTTATTTACCTTACTGTTAAGGTTCAGATAGCCCCGCCCCCTCACCAACAGGATCCCAAGGACTTCTCAAGCTCCTGAGAAAAAGGAATCTTGCTGATAAGCACCTTGGTCTTTGAAGTCAAGAGAAGCAGACTTTTCTCCACTGTTTGGCCAACACAGCAGGCTTCCCCTTTGATCTCTAAAGAGGACGGGTTTTAACAGCCCTGCTCTCCCACTCTCCCCCACTCCAACTTTAAAAAAAAATACATCTTCCCACCTTCTGC